TTCTGCCAAGGATTTTTCCCACCCTGCAGACTTAACATCCTCCCGTCTTTTCTCTCTGCATCAATAATTGTCCCTGCCACAGAGGGCGCCAGAGCGCGCCTCCCAAGGGCTTGCCCCAGTGTAGGCCCGGTTCTTACATGACACTGGGAATGAGCTCTGAGGCCATGATGGGATGTACAGAGGGGACCCGGCAGCTCTGCCTCTGTCAGTGAGAAGCTGGGAACTGTCACAGGGGCTCCCCCTGGACCCTGTGAGGCTGTGCCTGCTACTGCCACCCACCGAGGAAATCTAATAGAGGAAGATTTAGTCACAGGAACACTAGATCAGATGGAAAACACATGCATGTGCATGTCTGGGTGTATTTCTGCATACACATACATTTTCGCATGCACACGTGTGCCTGGATACCACTTGTGTACACACAAGAGAGCAGGCCTGGAAACGGCCATGCCACTCGTGGCCGTCTTTGGGTTGCTAGATTTGGGGTTTACATACTTTTCATAGCTATGTCAACACCATAGTAAGTACCACTGCTTTCACAGTTAAAAAAAGCAAGTAAATAAAGCACGTGCCTTGTGAACCAAAGATGCTACCACAGTTCTGAAGGCAAATCCTGGAAGATACAGAACTGGCCTGCGTGGCCGCCCACCCTCATGGGCTTGTTTGCAGAATTGCTTGTTAGCTTGGTTGCTCTCTTGCATGTCCTTGCCACTCACAGGACCTTGAAGTGGGACTGTAGGTAATCCCATGTACAAACATGACACGTGTGCACACACACACTCCTCCCCACCAGTTGAGATGTCCACGCACTGGGCCTTACTTCTCCCTCTGTACTGCTTAACGCGCTTGCTGATGCTGGCAGTTAGTTCCCTAGCTGGTTCTCCTGAGAGGGGGCCCCCATGCAGTTATGAGCCACCTGTCTTTGAACAGATGATGGTATCAGCTATACAAAAGTCCAGCCCCCTGTGTCCTCTGCCAGGATCCCCTGAAGGGCTTCAGGACTGAACCCCGGGCACAGAAGATCCAGCAGGTCTCGGAGTCAATCCATCACGCCAAGTCCACTGGGAAAGGACCTTCAACTGTGTACCCGCCCCTGACCCAGAGCTCAGAACAGAATGGTCCTGTATATTGCAATGGCATTCTTAAGCTTCCCAGGTAAGAGATCCGTATCAGGTACTGTTAGACAAAAAAGACGGTCAAGGTGTACTTACGTTCCATCCACTCCTTTTAAAACTATCCAACTCATTCTGAATGCAGCAGAGATTAAAGAGAGGGAAAGTGAGAGTTAAAAGCAGTCAGCAGGGCCACCCACCATCTCTACACCCTCAGCAGGGTGCAGGTGCAAAGCAGCAAGTGTGCCCTGCGTGGGCTGTTCAGGCATGCAGGGCCCAACAGCTGGCTTCCTCCCATCTCCCAGCAGGGAGCCCTGTTACCACTGTGCACCCCAAACAGCCCTGTACAACCATCACAATTGGCAAAGCTCCTGGCTGGCAATTTCTTCCCCTGAATCAAAATTGGTTACCTCTGACCCTGAACATTTAGCTTCAGAAAACTGCAGGAGCTCATGAGGACCAGCCACTACCACCACCACCTGCAGACCAAAGAGGGTGGAGCTAAGCCCGGGCTCGGGACTCCTCTGGTCAGTATTTTTCGTGCTCTTGATACTGAACGTGTATTTCTTTCACTTGAAAGGCAGGAAGCAGCTGCACGATCCTCCTCCTCCCTGACACAGACCTCAGGCCCTGGGTCCAGAGACATGGCTGCCCAGGCCATCGTGCAAAGCACTTGCAGCCCAGCCCAGAGGGGCACCCAGGGTGGTGTGCAATGCCAGGACCTCCATCCCCAGCTCTATTCAAGACAGGAGGGACACACACTGTGACACACAGCCCTTTGGGAAGGGTCTGTGTCTCCTGGGTGCAGACTGAAAACCTCACAGCCACTCCTCAAGTGCCCAGGGAGACTGCTCCCAGGGTTTTGAGAGCTGAGAGTGCCCCTGCAGTAGGTGGCATGTTGGTGATGGATGACTCGTCATAGGCCAGGAAAATACAATGGCTTGCTTTGTGCTGGTTGGGTCAGCCCACTGCAGTCCTCCAGTGCTGGGACACTTGACGGATGTTGCCCCTTCAGGCCAGGCATGGGCACTCTTAGCTCCTTCAAGTCCACTGTGCTGATTTCCAAGGACCCAGGTATAGCAAACAAAGTATTTCCCGTGTGGAGGGCCTGGAAGAAGGGCAGTTGCTGGTGCCACTCACCTGCCCCTCCTATCATGAAGCTTAGGGCGGTGTGCACCCCAGCTGCCCACTTGGGAGTGAAGCCACTCACCTGGGATGTGTTAGCTCATCATCTTGGAGGGATGTCCTACCTTCCTTTCCCAGGACCAGCTAGCCCCTGCCCTAGACAGTGCCCGGTCCATGTCCAGCACATGAAGAGACTTGCCCACCCAGGAATACCAGCCTCTACCTGCGAGCCCCAGAGCATCATGCTGCCTGTCCCCATGCCCTGTGCCACTCCACTGAGCCCTGCCTCAGTCCCTGCAGCAGCAGCTCTCCTGCATATACCACAGGGCTTTCCCCAGGGGAGGGGACACCACCTGGGACACCTCCTAACCCCTGGCACAGCAAAGCCATCTCGAGGTGACACAGAGTCCTGGGTGGGAGCAGGGTGGGCCTGGCCACTCGGTCCCCAGCAAAGTTGTGGGTGTCAGGAGGTGCCGGAAATGAAGGTTCTACTTAGCTCTTTTCTTTAGGTCTCAGAATCTAAAAACACACACCAGGCCTTTCATCAGAGAGCCCCCAAACCACAACAGACAAAGACTACAAAAACAGCTGTTTCTCCCAGAGAAAAAAAAATTGGAAACCCAGGCTACCCTGGCAGAGAGCCACCCAGGAGGGAGCTGCAGGCTTGGGCTCTACCCTGGCCACTCACTTCCCACCGGGGACAGAACTCGGGTCTTCCCATTCAGACCGCTCTGGACTTACTGCAGGCCTAACCATGAGACCCCTGGGGATCCCCAGGCCACCCATTCCTCCGAGCTGCTCCTCCAGACCGTGACCTCTCTGGAGTGGAAGAGGGACAGGTGTTTCCCCAGAGGGAGAATAACACACTGGAGAGGTGGCAGCAGATGGGAGGGCCCGGGGAAGGGCCGGGGACCTCAGTTCCCACCTGTTCAGCTCTTTCTGTGCCTGCAAAGGGCTCCGTTGACACTGCAGGACACAGGCCCACAGGATTTTGCAGGGGTTTCCACCTGCCTGCCTGCCCACGGCCAATTACCCAGTGAGGAATGACCTGCAGGTGCCTGAGTAGTCTCAGGTGGCTTGGGACTGACCTGGATGACAGGACATAGCACAAGGGTAGAGCCCCTGGAGCCAGCCTGCCCAGGTCTATGGCCACAGCACCCGATCCCAGGGCAACTTCTGCCACCAAGCTGCAGGCTGTGCAAGACAGCGTCCACCAGCCAGCAGGAAGTTCGTGGAGCTCATCCAACAAGAAGCAGGGCAACTGAAATCTCTCACTAGCTTCTGATGGTTGAAAATGGGCAGAGGCAAAGCCTGCAGGTCCGATGCTCCCATGAGGGAGACCAGGGCAGTGGCCCAAAGCCTGGGTCACCACGGACCGCTGAGTTTGGCTGACCAGCATCGCATGTGACAACTGCCCTGTTCAGAGACAGCCTGCAGTGGGAGTAAGGAGGGCACCCGACTTGACTCCTCCCTGCTCCATGCAACTGGAAACAAGCCAGTCACAACCACTCCCCACCCTCCAACTCTGCCTTACCCAGAAATAAACAAATCTTTACAAATGAAAGGGAAGACATGCCAAATACCACAGGCTCCAGGGTCAAGCCTGGCCTAGCAATGGTTTTTATATAAAATTATAACAGCACAGGCCCAGCAAGTGTAGCCTAGTGGTTGAAGTCCTCACCTTGCATGCACCAGGATCCCATGTGGGTACCAGTTTGTATCCTAGATGCTCCACTTCCAACCTAGCTCCCTACTTGTAGCCTGGGAAAACAGCAGAGGACAGTCCAAAGCCTTAGAATCCTGCATCCACATGGGAGACCTGGAAGAAGCTTCTGGCTTCTGGATTTGAATTGGCTCAGCTCCGGAAGCTGAGGCCACTTGGGGCATGAACTAGCAGATGGAAGATCTTTCTGTTTTTCCTTCTCTCTGTAAATCTGACTTTCCAATAAAAATAAATAATTATTTTAAAAAAAATTTATCAGCACACCCTGCCCACATGTTATGTGTCATCTGTGGCCACTTTGACAGAACAGCAAAGCCAGGTGGCTAGAGCTGAGACGGTATGACCCATGGAACCTGAACCAGTTAACTGGCCCTTCATGGTCAGGGCCAGCTGGCTCCTGCTGTGCGCCAGCAACAGCTTTATGTTGTTTGTTGGGACCCAGCAAAGCATAATGAAAGCACAAGGTGGTCTTGACCCGGTAGATGTGGCCCAGTAGGGCCTTGGAGAGCAGAGACCCAGCCCACCTGCCCACCCCGTGGGCCAGAGCAGGCCCCGACTCACCTGTGGCCTGGCAGAAGAGGTGGAAGGTCCCCAGCACGTGCACCTGCTGTGTCTGGTCACTCAGGAAGGGTGGCAGCAAGGTGACCCGCGTGTGGCTGGAGGGTCCCAGCCCTGAGGCTGGCCAGGGGCTCCGGGGAGAGGAAGGTGAGTCAGGACCCAGACAGGACAGAGAAGAGGAGCCAGGAGGAGGAAAGGGCTTAGGAGATGAGGCTGCGAGACAGAGAGGAAGAGAAAGGGTACTGAGGAGAGTCGTCAGGAATACAGCAGGGGACACGCACGGCAGGGGTGCAAGGCAGCGAGTGGGGGGTGGGGTGGAGAGGGGCTGCAGCGAATGGGGTGCAGGGCTCCCAAATGACGGCCCGCCCACTGCACAGGTACAACCTTGGCATTTATTTGTGTATTTTCTGAATATATACAACTCAAAGTAGAAAAATAAACACAAAGTAAATCTTATAAAACACACACACATGTTGACACCAACATGGTCGAATCCCATTCATGTTGGAAGATGAGAGCATCCAGGCAGACACAGTGACATCCACAGTTCACCGCGCCTCCTCCCGAGGGCTGGCCACGTGGCGGGGAGACGGGCACCACGACCCAACCGCCCACTGCAGCTTCCACCACGGCGGCAGGAGACGCCATCTGGCATGAGGCCATACGCACTCGCGCGTCACGGTGTTCTGGGCTCAGCTAGCTGCCAGCAACGGCCCCATCCTATGCCGCCTACTCTTCTTCCGGGCATGGACAGGCCAGCTGTGCTGGATGGGCAGTGGGCATGAGATGGCAGCAAGAGCAAGCAGACAACGTCCAGAGGGTGCGATACCATCGCGTGGCGGGGGGACAGGGTGACTGCCTGGGCCACGCGCAGCGGCCTCCTCCCCTCTGAGCTCGTCCAGCCAGCAGCCCCTCACTCAAAATCCGCCTCACAGATGTGAGCCAGCCACTCCCCTTCAAGAGAGTGAAAATAAGACAGAGAGGAAAAAAAAAAAAAAAAAAAGAGGGGGGAGGCAGAGCACAAAAAGAACACTGCCCCGGAAACGCTGCTGCCCTCAAGGAATGAAGGACAACCAAGGTGAGTGTTCCAGACGGTTCCGTGTCCGTCTCTGCAAGCAGGAATGTGTTTTGCCAAAGGAAGTTTATCCCTGAGACTCTTGAGCTAGCTAAGCCGGATTTTATCCCAACACAGAACAGAATCCAGAAGATGTGCATCTTCTAAACATGAAAACATCTGCTTCAGTAATTTAAAAAAAAAGTAACAACTGAAGAGATCAACACAATCTACGCAAAATCCTAAAAAAAAAAAAAAAAAAAACACAATCACATGAAGAAAAGGTCCGTGCCAATCTGGACAATGGGCTCGATAAGTTACCAATCTGATAAACTAAAATGTCATTTCCAATCTGGAATTAAATTATCTTTCAGTGGCTGCTGGGAGGCGGGGAAGCCGCAGGGGCACTCTTTTCAGCCGACGGGCTTGCAAACCATCTCTCCCCCAGACCGCTGAGCCCGCCACTTGCTCGGACCGCGGGCCACCAGACCAGGATGCGAAGCTTGCAGTTCTCCAACAGGACAAAGAGAGAAAAAGTCACAGGCTCAACCCAGGAGACAAACAGAAGACTGAGGTTTGCTGCACGATGACGAGAATCGGCTACGGAACGGGTGAAGACAGGAAGCTCCGCACACGGGCGCCGGCCAGCCGACACGGGGACGGGCCGCAGGGGCCACGTCAGTCGCCATCAGCATCCGAGTCGGCGAACTTCAACTCGCACTTGACGTCGAACGGCTTGTCCCTGGCCGAGAGGTCGTCGATCCTCTGGGAGTCCTCCCTGTCTGTGGGGACTTTGCTGGTGAGCGTGTCCTGCTCTGTCTCGTAGCCCGTGTCCAGGGCTGGCTTAGGGTGCTCCCCGTTTTGCTGTGAGAAGCTCCCCGGCTCCACCAGCGTTTCCTTCACGCTCTGTTCCAGGTCCGAGAAGTCCGACTTGGGCTTCTTCTTGCCCAGCAGCAGGGCCGAGCGGAACTTCAAGCACTGGCTGGGCAGGTAGCCCTGGTAGCAGTTGTAGGAGAAGAGGCAGAGGCAGAGGACGAAGAAGAAGAGGAAGAGGGCCATGAGCAGCCGGTTGTCACTGGACTTGAGATACATCGTCTTGGAGTGCAGCTGCGGCACTGTGTTGATGACGATCTTTGGTTCGCACGACGTGCTGCTGGTGGCTGCGGGTCTGGAAGGTGGAGTGGTGGTGGCCCCGGGAGAGGTGGCCCGCATGGCCAGGGTTGTCAGGGAGGGCCCCTGGGTGGCCGGCACCAACCCCTTGGTCCCAACCCTACTGCCCTCGGAGTGAGTCGTGGGCGAGGTGGGGGCCGTGGGCGTCCGTGGAAGCAGCTTCACCTCCAGCACGTGCTTCGCCACCACCTGGGAGACGGTCTTGTTCCGGACCCTCTCCTCCGACAGGCACTGGTACACCCCACTGTCTCCTTCCGACAGGTTGAAGATGAGCAGGTGTTTGCTGCCCACGAGGCCGTACTTGGGGCTCTCAGCCTTCAGCAAGCCGTCCTGGAATTTCCACACCACCTGGGCCAGGTTGGACTTGTGGGAGCATTTGAGCTCGGCCGTGCCACCGTGCTTGAAAAAATGCTGCCGGTGACTTTCTTTAACTTTATCTGGAACATCAAAATAAACGTGTACAGTGTCAACAGCCCCGCTCACCGAGCAGATTTCCCGTCAAAACACGTCACGACCCACAAGACGACACGAGAGGTTCACCTACTGGAACAAGATGGAATCTTCCAGAACAACTAAGGAGATCAAGACATGCGAGACTGACTGAAAGGCAAGGAAGAGTCGCGGGAGGGCAGCCGCAGGGACAAGGACACCAGAGGTGGCTCTGAGCAGTACACTTGATTCTCCCTGCCCCACCACCCCACCTTGTCTCCGGAGAAAACCGGCAGCTCAGGGTTCTGCTGGATCTGCATGAAACATTTCTGCTAGTGGCTAGGAGACGGCTGCTCTTTTCAGGGAGGGAGGGCACAGCTGGGGGGCACGTCGGGCCTGACTCCATCCTGTCCTGGGCTCACAGGCAGTGAGATGTGCCACATCCCAAGGAGAGCACCAGTACAGCTGAGGACCCCTTAGCTTGAATGCCCGGCCCCATAAGTGTGGGTTTCTTTGTGTGTGTGTGTGTGTGTGTGTTGTGAAACACACCAGTGTGTCTGCAATTGTGTATTGCATTGTGTATGCAGTGTCTTGGGAGGGGATTCCCATCAAAATGTAAAATGCATGGGTTTCCTCTACGCCTCCTACACAGAGCCCCACGGCGACTCCACGTAATATTTTAAGGCGTTTTTGTGTGTGAAATGGGTGGGATTTCCCACACTCGCAGTATCACCTGAGCCTTCAGAACGCATCTAATTGGAGGCATCGTGGATTTGGAGTTTTCCGATTAGGGATGCTCAGCCTGTGGAGCCAAGGGCTTCCTTCCTGCCCTTCCTAACCAGTTCAGTTTCATGTCACACGAGCCTCGAGCCAGCCAGAATGGAAAAAGACAGCACTTCTGGGCAGAGAGCATTGTGCAGGGGGCAGACGGGCCCCATGTGGCATCCGGCAGCTTCAGGGATGAAAGGGACAGAGAAAGACCACCCTCTGTCCCCACGGCAACCGACCTCTGTTCCACAAGGGCAAAGAAAAGGAAAACGCACACAAATGCCACAGCACCAAAGCAGCGCAGGAGGCCCCCAGCGTCGCCGCTCCCGAGGAGCAGGCACCTGCGCGGGCAGCCACTCACCCGGGCACGCCGCCACGTCACCGCTCATGTCCTGGATCAGGCTCCTGCAAAGCAACCGGCACACGTTACTCAGTGGCACACGTGTGGCACGCAGGCACGCGGCACGTCCCGCCTCTTACCTGCCGGGGGTCTCGGCCTGGGGCAGGGCCACGCAGGCGGCTGCGGGCAGGCTCCAGGCACAGTAGGGGTCCCGTGCCAGCACGCAGTCCTCACAGCTGCTGTGCTTCCCACAGAAGGCCAGGGGCGCCTGGACCACGCCCGAGTTGGAGCCGGCATAGACAAACCTCCTGCCCTGTGTGAGTGACGGAGAGAACAGAGCAGGGGGTCAGGTCAAGGTCACCGCCAATAGGGAGGCCCCAGAGCAACTTTGGCAGCCAGGCCTCCCTGACTCAGCATCATGGCCGGGCCATGGTGTTAAGGGAGGCCCCGAGACGGGAGTGCTGACGCCCCCCCAAAAGCAAAGCTAGCAGTGCGATTTCCACGCAGACCCTATCAGCCAGGCTGCTGCTCCCTGAGCCTTGCGTCCTCGGAGTGCGGCTCTGCGCCTGCTTACAAGGGTGGCTTAGGGCACACGGTCAGGAAGGCAACTGCCAGGCTCGCCAGAGGCACACTCAGAGCTGGAGGCAAAGCAGGCCCAGTGGCTCCCAGCTAGGCAAGTCACCAGTGCCAGCTGAAGGAAAGCGCCCACCGGCACCAGCATCGTGTCCGGCACACAAGCAATGGAGATGACCGACGCCATCCATCGACCCCGCCTACAAGGACCTGGAGCTCTACGACTCTATGTTTCCACTTTCCTCTGCCTGGGTCTGTTTGTGCCACTGTAGTAACACCCTACAAAAACCTCCCAGCTCACATCAAGATTCCCTTTTTCGGAGCCAGCGCTCTGACATAATAGGCTAACCTGCCTGTGGCACCAGCATCCCACTGGACGTGGCTGCCCTGCTTCCAATTCAGCTCCCTGTGAATGCTCCTTGGAGAGCAGCAGAGGGCCTAGGTGCTTGAGCCCCTGCACCCATGCGGGAGACATGGAAGAAGCTCCAGGCTCCTGGCTTTGGAGCATCCTAGCTCCAGCCATTGTAGCAATTTGTGCAGTGAATAGTAGATGGAAAATCTGTCGCTCCTTCTCTTTGCACTTCTGCTTTTCAAATAATAAATAAATCTTGAAAAGATTTCCATTCCTATGGATACACACTGAGGCATCTGCCGACAGAAGAATGGGTAAAGAAAATATACGGGCCCGGCGCGGTGGCGCAGTGGTTAAGGTCCTCGCCTTGCATGCCCCAGGATCCCATATGGGCACCGGTTCTAATCCCGGCAGCCCCGCTTCCCTTCTAGCTCCCTGCCTGTGGCCCTGGAAAGCAGTCGAGGGCGGCCCAACGCTTTGGGACCCTGCACCTACGCAGGAGACCCGGAAGAGGCTCCTGGCTTTGGATCGGCATAGCATCGGCCGTTGTGCTCACTTGGGGAGTGAATCATCGGATGGAAGACCTTCCTGTCTTTCTCTCCTCTCTGTATATCCGCCTTTCCAATAAAAAAAAAAAGAAAAGAAAATATACGTACTCCCCACGGGCTATCATCCAGCCATACAAAAGGGGAAATGCTGACACAACGAACTTTAGTGCATCTGTTCTATGTGCCCAAAGAAGGCAAAACAATGTCTGAGCGAGAACCTACCCACCCACGCTCACAAAAGGTGGGAGCAAACCCTGGTGCTCCCTCACTGATGGTCTCATACGAAGGGCATCACCCAGCCTTAGCCAGGAAGGGAATTCTGACTCCCGCCACAACATGGGGAAGCTGGAGAAGGCACAAAAGGATAAACGCTGTGTGATCCCACTCTCATGAGGGTCTGAGAAAAATCAAACCCACAGGGGAAGGGAAGGGCAGCCCCAGTGCCTGGGTGCAGGGAGCGGGCAGTAGTCTTCCATGGGGATGGTTTCAGTTCGGGAAGAAAAGGGACAGTGGGAATGCCACTGATTGTCCACTGGCACGTGGCCAAGAGGAGGACAGGTATGGTTGGCCTAGTGAAGGGTGGAACCTGCCATTTCTCTACTGCCTGCCAGCCAGCAACGGGGTGCTATTTATTTTTGACCCCGAGATTGGTTCCCAGCCCCTCTCAGAGCGCTGAGACGCCCACGCACCCACAGGCCTGGCTCCCTCCCCTCCATCCTTGCACCAGCCAGCCACTCTACCTCCTTCGACGACAGCAGCAGGGTCTGCACAGGCTGGAGGTCCTGGAAGAGCTGCGTCTCCTCAACAATATGTACTTCACTGTCCAGGCTGACGGCTTTGTGCAGGGCACCCCGGTCTGCAAGGGCAAGGTCACAGGTCAGCCACGGATCCCAGCCACTGCAGCAAAGCTCACCTCATCTACACTCCCACAGGCAGGTGACAGCTGGGCACCTCCCAGGACAGGCAGGAACTGGGCAGCCCTGGAGCTGGCTCCTGGGTAGGCAATTCCGCCAGCAGGGCCTGCACTCAAACGCTCTGCTGCCGCCACAGGCATTGCTGCCCCGGCTTCCTGTCAGTGGAGACTCCAGCCCAGTGCAGCTGCAGGGAGAGCTGAGAGCCACAGGCACAGCGGCTGTGCAACACACAGGTGTGCGGCACACACCCTGGTGCACTGCGAGGCAGAGGCCAGGCTGGCCTGCAGAGGTGAGCTGGGTCTCCCCACCTGCTCACTCGAGGACACATGCAGGCCGTGACCGTGGAGCCCGGGAGTTCCTCACCTGTGCTGAGGAACATGACGTCATAGACGGTGCCGTCAAGCGCCTTCGTCCTGTCCACCACAATTTGGGTGTAGCTCACGTCCTTCTTGATCAAGCGGGGCCTGCCGTCGATGGGGGTCACGGAGTCATCCATCAAGGGGTGGTCTTTGACGAACTGCAGCGTTTTGTCAGGGAGATTCAGGGAGCTGGTATAGTTGGCTGCCCGTGCCTCCCCATCGATGCACTGTGGAGGGGGCAGGGTCATGGGGTGAGGCCAGCTGCACCTGGCACCACGCTGCCGACTGCCAGAGCTCAGTGTGGGCGTGAGGCTGGAGGCCATGGGCTGGGCCCTTCCCAGCAACCACCACGCCCACAAGATGTTACCATGCTTCCGGAAATGTCCCTCAGCAAGGATATCCGTCTAGACCCAAAGCAGCCTGCCAAGCTTTGAAACGTAAAAATCAAGCACTTGTCAGCTTTCGTGCGAGACAAATGCTCTCTGCCCCAAGAAACAGCTCCATTCTATAGAGCACAAGGATAAAGAACAGGGCAGACACCGCTTCTGCCCAGGTTCAGGGTCAGTTGTATTGAACAGACCACATAGGAGGAATGGCCACATGTTGGGGGTTGATCTAAACACCAGGCCCCCCAGGGTGGAGTGGACCTCAGGACCAAGCCACCTGCTACCCATTCACCATGTGGGGAACAAGTGGGGGCAGTCAGAGCAGCCCAGCAGTGTGTACCAATTTCCCCATAAATTCACGCTGATTGAGGAGGAGATGTGAGACCCAAAGAACATCTCCCAAGAGTAGAGGCCTTTGTCAAGAAACCAAGTCTCCATGCAGAAAGCAGGAGCTAAGAACAGACGGAGTGGCATCGGGCAAGGTGGCCCCTGTACACCCAGCCCTGTCCAATCGGAAGCGGACAGGCTATTGCCATCTGATGCAAGCTAAGGTACAAAGTTTCAGAACCATGGCAGAAGGAAATGAAAAAGCGAGCTGCACTCTTGGCTCCCTGGGACCTGGCCCGGGTCTCATGCCCAGGACCTTAAGCCTTGAACAGGAAGAGATATCCCTGGCCCTGCGCACCCCATGCCACAGCTCACCGCTCCAGGCCGCGGCGTGGGCACGGGGCCGTTGTAGCGCACCCACTTGGTGTGTGACTGTTCCACCGTGGCGCTCTGCATGTACTTGCCGCGGGCGAAGACCTCCTCTGCCGTGGACAGGTTGTAGGCGCACACGGCCGACAGCCCCACGTTGTTCCTAGGATGGGGGGAACAGAGAGGCCACTTGATTGCCTGCAGAGCAGCGTGGGCAAAGGGAGAGCCACCCGGCCAGCCACCTGCCCTGGGCACTCACAGCTGCGGGGTGAGCAATGCGTAGAACACTGCTTCCCTGAGGCCGGGGGCCCGCAGCACAAAGATGTCCCGCAGCACGTTGAAGATCAGGCCGCTGTCTGGCCGGGAGCAGGTCAACCTGGCCTTCACAAAGGAGGTCCACTTCTTCTGGAGGGTCCTCAGGCCGCCCTGGTCACCCTGAAACCACAGCAACAGTGTGGGTGCTCGGCGGGGGAAAGGGCACAGACCCCTGCCATCAGCACTAGGCAGTTCTGTGCACGGCACAGCCCTGCCAAGTGAAAGTGGTAGCAGAGGGCCCGGCGCAACAGCGTAGCGGTTAAAGTCCTCGCCTTGAACACGCCAGGATCCCGTATGGTCGCAGGTTCTAATTCCGGCAGCCCCGCTTCCCATCCAGCTCCCTGCTTGTGGCCTTGGAAAGCAGTTGAGGACGGCCCAAGACTTTGGGACCCTAAACCCATGTGGGAGAACCAGAAGAAGCTCCTGGCTCCTGTCTGAATTGGCTCAGCTCCAGCCATTGAGGCTGCTTGGGGAGTGAACCATCTGACGGAAGATCTTCCTCTGTCTCTCCTCCTCTTTGTATATCTGACTTTGTCATAAAAGTAAAGAAATCTTAAAAGAAAAAAAAAGGAAGTAGTAGCAGAGCCACTTGTAGTGTCAGCATCCCATACAGGTGCCCAGTTGCATCCAGGATACCCCGCTTCAGATCCAGCCCCCTGCTCATGTGCCTGGGAGGGCAGTGGAGGACGGCCCAAGTGCCTGGGCCTCTACAACCACATGGGAGACCTGGAGGGGGCTCCAGGCTCCTGGCTTCAACCGGCTTTAGATGCAGTTGTTACGGCCACTTAGGAAGTAAGGCAGCTGATAGAAGATCTCTTTCTCTTCTCCTAACTCTAGCTTTCAAATAAACAAAATAAATAAATAAATCTTTTTTTGTTGTTTGTTTTTTTAAAGAATACAATGCAAAACTGATCAGAATACCCTGCACCCAAAACTCATCAGCGACATGCTGGTCCCTTTTCTGGTGGGGCTCCCCCGAACCCGTCAGTGAATGAGTTACAGGCCAGGGGCGGTGTGGGTAGCAGGTGCCCCCCAGTGCAGAGGGTATCCGCACTGAACCTGCCCCCTGGCGAAGGCGCGGATGCCCCTGATGGGGGAAGAAGCCCTCCCCTCCAGCGGCACTCCCCAGCATCTCCGTGGCAGGAGCTGACTACGCTGCTCATCAGCGCTGTTAGGGGAGAAACGATTACAGACGCACAGGACGTCGCCAGGTCTGCAGAGTGGTACGGGCAACCCCCACCATGGCTCTGCTGCACGCTGTGGTTTTAGCTGCCCATGGGCAAGCCTGGTCTGAAAATGTGGGTGTTTTGCTACACTCACACAGCTCACACACTGAACTGCGCCATTTCCTAATGCCAGCACACAGGCTGGCATGTTGCCACCACTGTTCTATTACTGTTCATCTCCTGTGCGCCTGGATTTCCAGGTAAACGACATGGTCCACACAGGAAAAGATAGAGCGGACACAGGTTTCAGTGGTATCCTTGGTTTTAAACATCTGGGAGGGTCTTGGGACTCACCCACCTGGAGCACAGAAGCAAGGGCATTTGAATGCAGAAGGTAAAATTGAAGAGTTTTGAGTGCAAGGAAAACATACTCCTCCTCAACTTGACAATGAGATCACAGACACCAAAGTCTCTCTCTCAGAGAAGGAGCTTGCTTCTTCCCTAGCTCTCAGCAAGAGTGGTTCTAGCATTGCCCATCTTGTTCACCAACGCTCTTGAGAACCCTGCCCGGTGTTCGGTCAAAATCAAGGTCAGGTAGATCTTACGCCAGCTTTCTGATGGACACACAGCCAGCGGGGGCACTGAGTCCCACTGACCAGCACTGGGTGTGGCAGAGCCAGCCAGAGGTCCCTCTGGCCGAAGGGACCTACACAGGAGCAAAGTGACATGCTAGCCACAGGCCGGAAGTGGTCAGCTTCTCAGGCGAGCACTCACCTTGCACACTCTCGCTATCCGTGGGACCAGCAGCTTGAAGATGAACTCGTACTCCACAGACACCTCCGTGAAAAAGAAGTAGACCCTGTCGTCCTCCACCTCGGCGCCCTCATGGCGTTTCCTGATCACGTCGGCAAAGACAAAGCTGGGCTCTGCAGAGAGGACACGAGGTGCCACGTCATCGGCCCTGTGTGGCATCCTCTGCTCCCAGTGTCACGGGCTGGCAGGCACAGCCGCACGGGCTGGGACCTCTGCCTCCAGGTGTGTCCAGGGCACCATCTAGACTCCAGCTCCAGCACCTGACACTGCCTGTGCCACTGTCCGCACCCTCTGAGAGGTGCGCCCCGAGGGTGACCCCACAGTGCACCCAAAGAACCCCACTGGGGCTTTCCTGCTGGTGGGCTATCTGGACACATCAAGGAAGCCAGACAGCACTGGCCTGTGAGTTGCATGTTCTCTGGTTTAAACCACACATGCCTCAAACAAGCGCCTACCTGGGGCCCAGGCACCGGAGACCCTGGCTCCCTGGTTGCCCCACTTGGAGAAGCAGCTGGTCGTCCCCAGCTCTGGCTTCAAAGGCCAGGACCCCTCTGCCCAGCGCCCCCAAGAAAAGCTCCATTGTCTGAACCCTGAAATCAGGCAGCAGTCTGAGCACACACTGCCTGGTGGAAACCAGGCGCCAGGTCCAGTCCGAGCAGACAGGCACAAGGGCTCCTGGCTTTTCTGCCAGGGAGCACACACAGCCCAGTCAGTTTGCCATTTCCCATCAGACTCTGGCTCTTACCTGAGTCTCCCAAATGCAATCTGTTTTCAGGCCAGGGTATTCCAACAGACTTACAGTTAGCAGAGAACAAACCAGGCCAGACAGGGTTCGGGACCCGTCCCAGTGCAGAGCTGGGCCGGCCCAGGGAAGTAGGGGAACTCAACACGGGGGCCTGTGAGTGAGGCTGTGCGTGCCTTCCTGTGGGCTGCTCTGCTCTTACCATTCAGCCAGGGGATGGCGTACTCTGTCCTCAGGGGGCTGTGAGAGAAGGTCCGGGAGATGATGGGCTCGCTCCCCAGGAAGTTATACGATGTCCCGGAATACAGCTCTCCATCTGCGGTGGCGGGGGGCATGCGGGAAAGGGATCGACCGATCGTGAGGATACACACTCAACATGAGGATGCACTTCTTCAGAACCGCATTAAGCATCCCCAGGGGCAGGGGGAGGAGGGAGAGCCCTCCCCTGCTCCTTCCCCACTCCAGTGTCTGCCGCTATTCTCCCACGTGCTCATTTCCTGCTCCACAGACAACTGCATTTTCAGAGCCAAGAGGCAACCACAAAAACACAGGCAGTAACTCCTGCTCCCACGACAATGGCAACACACACGGGGGCTCCCCGATCTGCAGCTAGGACCACGTCCTGATCAACCCACCGCAGGCTGACGACGCACGGAACTCATGCTGACCGCCAGCCAGGTGCGCTGGCCCCACCCATCCACCTGCACAAGCTCAGGACACTCCCCTCAGCCCACAGTCGGCCTAAGCTACGCCACACAAAGCCGGTTTTATACTAAGTGCTGAACATCTTCGTGTCATTTACTGAGCACAGGTCTGTGAATAAGTTCATGGGAAAGCAACTTGAGCTAAAAGGTAACTATTAACATGTCAGTTTTTGAAGCCTGTGTGAGGGGTCTGCAAGAGGCTCCCCCAAATCTTTATGATGAGATCTACTCATGGGCTGCAAAACCTTCTGGCACCCGGATAAAGTGGCCTTCACATTAGCCTTTCTACAGAAACTCTGCGGCATCCTCCTGCTGTACTCAGAGTGCGAAGTACAACCCTGCGCAGGAGGGACCTTTGAGAGCACCACAAAGTCAACAACAGAGGGTCCTGGCCCGCTGGCTGGCATGCACCAGCCCAAGACAGGTGGGCAGTGACACCACTGCATGGCTCCCTCTGCCACAGGAACAGCGGCCCCACAGGCCAGAGCCACGAGGAAACACTGGGCACCCCCCACAGTGACCAAGTTGCCTGTCCTTCTGAACCATCAACCCCAGAGTGCCCGTCAAGGCCCTCTGCAGGGTCACACATGCCTCTAGTGAAGACGGCCAATGTCACAGCCACTGAATGGCCGGAGGGGCTTGGGGTGGGGGTGGGGCAGCAGGACTCACCGACCATGACGGAGGTGTAGCTGTGGGCTGGGTCGAAAGGACACCTTCCTTTGCCATCCTCATTTCTCCCCAGAAACTGGAAAGATGTTAAGCTCTACAATTCAAAGAATAAGAAAGTACATGCTAAACTGTCTGGACCTCCACAGCAGCTGAAACCTAGCCACGGCTCCATTCTTGGAAGACCACATGGCTGAACCAAAGGATTGAGTCACAAGGGTCCCGCCCCCAGAGCTGAGCCTCGCACCACTCAATCACCTGGACACCCGAGCCAAGCTACTCGAGACCTCAGAGCCTCAGCTGAGCTGGCCTGTCTGTAAAATGGGTATGACATTGCTCATGGCTTTAGAAAGTAGCCAGGGAAAATGAAATACAGGCTAAGCTCGAGGCAGAAGTGATCAGCAGCCCACATTCAATGTCAATAGTGATGGTGTTCAAGGCGGCACAGAGAGCCATGGCAGCCTACACACATGACACAAAAACAGAAGCAGAGAACAGCACTAATGTCTCTCTCCCAGACCCAGCAGGACACACTCCAAAGGGAGCTGGGATCTGACCAGGGCAGGCATCTGGACCAGTGGGCATGATACCAGTTAAGATGCCCACGTTGTACACCAGAGGGTCTGGGCTTGACTTCCCACTAGTGCAGCCCCTGGGGCTGCCACAGGGGTGGTACAGTGCCCCCTAAGCGGAAGACGTGGCCTGAGCTACTGGCTCCTAGTCAGTTCCTGGCCCACTGTGGGCATCTGGGGAGTGAGCCCGGAGATGGACCATTCATACCAGACACAGATGTCAGCCTGCCAGGCCAGGGACCTTGAGCTCGGGGACAGTCCCCTGTGTCGTGCTCAAAAGGCTATGCGGCAGGGGAGGTCTCCCGGGGAAGTCTAAACAGGCCTGGAGAGTGGATGATACTGGGGAGTCAGGGTCCTTCTGCTTAGACAAAAGGATGAAACTGGAGTTGTGCAGGCAAAGGTTCTTTGCGGAGCCTCGGTGAGCCACACGTGTGTATACACACATGTACACATGAGCTGCCTGCACAAACACACGCATTTCCAACCAGCTATACCACGAGTGACGGGGTGTTGGGAGGAAATTACAGCTCCAAAGTTACTATCCTCCAACCTCCCCGGCTGACCTATCTATGGGATCTAAGTATACAAAGTAGTACTTGAACGATCCAATCCCCCAGTCAGGAAATCCTTGGATAAGCAGAACTTTTCCAGGAGGCCTGCACTCAGCTTCCAAGTTCATGTTCAGCCTCGTCACTTGCCTGGACTCAAGGCTGGGTGAGATTTTAAAACATCAATGAACATAGGGCATTAGCAAGCTCAGGTTTCTCACCACGGCCTTTTTTTCCCCGTTGGTCAGGTGCTCACGAACTCCTGGGAGGGTCATTACCAAATGCGCTCGGTTCTCAGGCCTGCCCACACTGACCTGGCATGCCCCTTTCTCCTGGTGAACCATTCATTAGACTGACTGCCAGGCCCTTCTCTCGGGAGATTTCTCTCTGCATCTGAGTACAGAGGAACGTCCTGCTAGAAGAAGTCGGACGGCAGCCTGGACAGTGAGGGGTAGGACCCAGCAAGGGACACTCAGGGCAGCTCAGCAGGCAAGCCACACAGCAACACCAAAGAGTGGTGTCCCAAAACCCCAAGACCCTACCTAATCCAGGAGCAGGTCCTGATGCCTGGCGGACCCAGACGCTACTTCAGCCAGGCTTCCTCCCAAAACAGACGCAGGCAAAAGGCAGGCTGACAGCAGCTTTCTAGACTATTCCCCACGGTGTATGTCTGAACCTGTGCCTGTCTGAGTCACACCCTTGGCCAGGGACTCAGCGGCTCGGAGGAACTCTGTGGGCCATGCGTCCCCGGCCATAGACTGCCAAGGTGGAGCTGCCCCCATCCCTCCCACAGCTGCCCAGAAAAAAAAAATCCAGTGGAGTCCACCCCATGCCCATCTGGAGCCCAACGCAGCTCTAACCACAGCCCAGGCAGCACAGGTGTGCCAAATGCAGAGAGCAGCAGGCCGTCTTACCAGATGGTCACAGGCCGGCTGGAAGGCGTTGGTTCCACACACATAGAGGGAGGTGGCATTGAGGGGCTGCAGCACCCGGATGTAGTTGAGGCATTCTGTCTGCAAGAGACAGAAACACACCATTAGCTACCACTCCACCTGCATGCTTCCACGGGCTCATATGTGGGGGTTCTCTCCGGCTTACAGCCCACCTCACAGTGAGCTCTTCTGTGCATGCCATAGGAGGCCCCTGGGACTCCCACGCCACGGGGGAACCCCTAAACTTCAGCTGGCCTGGGTGGTTTTCTCTCTGCAGCATCCATAGGCATTTGGTTCTGCTCCTAATGACACTCAGTAAAGATCTACCATCACGCCAGGGATACCCACAGGTCTCACGCCTGCAGGACCTGCGCAAGTGCAGATGGAACATCCTCTGCCCACCCTCCCGACCCAGGCCACTAAGGGACCTCTAGGCTGGAGCCCAGCCCCTTCTATACCCTGCAGGAAAGGTTAGGGCTAAAAAAGGGGCCTGGAGCCACCCTGCCCAGCGGGTACACAAAGGTGCCATTTACAAAGCCACGGGCTATTCTAAGGCGAGAATACTTTCTTTATAAGTGTGTTAGAGTCTGAAATTATCCTAGCTTGGGACAGCTACATTTTGCTCTGCCTGTTTTTAAACCAGAGTCATTTCCAGTCTGCCCTTCCTTTCTTACCCCAAGAACGGGAGGGTCTTGCCCGCTGGGACTGTTTGAGTGCTGTAGGCTCCATAAGAACTCCTGGCCACACCTCTGATTGAACCCACACACCCAGCTCCTAAAGGGTTCTAGACTGAGAGGCAAGTACATTTACACAAGTGTTTGCCATCTTGCTAGAAAGATTTAGCCAGAAAAACTCCTTGCTGTTTTTTTTTTTTTCCCCCAAATGGTTTTGAACTTAATCCACAATCATTGAAACTGGCCCACAACTCATTCAGATGCTTTAAAGATAGACTGTACTCCAACAGTCTGAGAATCCAGACACCTGCCCAGTTCCGGGGGTGGGCACGGGGCCAGCGGGAGGCAGGGGGCCAGGAGCTCTGATGGAAGACAAACCCTCGGTGTTGCCCCCCACCCACACACACAATTAACACGCTGGTGTGACACAGGGATGGATAAACACCCCTCCCAGCCCAAGGCGATTGTTGGGTTGGAGCGGGGGAGTGAGACAACGCATGGGAATTCCACAGCACTCACTGGTGGGCATCAGAAATCCCTTTATGTGGCCAGAGTTTCTGGCCACTTAGTAAATGCTCACTAATACTTCTCAAGAGGCGCCTACCCAGGGAAGACCTACTCCTGCTATTCAGAAAGGACAAGCTTGCAAAAATATGTCATCATCACATCCCTTGGTCTGCTGAGCTGGACACCTGGCTTACCTCTCGAAGCTCGTGGCTTGCAGGAGGTAAAAAAAAAAAAAAGAAAATTAAGGAAGAAATTCAAGCCTTGTGGTTTGTGAAGGAAAGTACCTGCTTTGATTTCCCCTTCTCTGCACATTTTGCTTTCTTGTCTTCGGAGACCTTCCAATACGCCTGGAAAGAGAACAAGAGTTCCGTGTGCTCCTCCTGCAATCAACAGCTGCTCATGTACACAAACAAAACAGGAGGTTGCAAAAATCCTGCCAGCGAGCCCCAGGGTCACGGAGATGGTCAGATCCCAGGGAGGGGGGCACTGAGGCTAGGGCTGGGCTGAGGTGTCCAACTTCAGCATGACTGCCGTCCCCATTAGCCACTGCAAAACCAACACTCCACTAGCAAACAGTCATTCGCCAAAAGACAAACTCTAAGTAATCTCAGACACAAAGGTTTTATTTTTTTTTTCCCTTAGCGGTTCAAAAATAATTCTAGAGCATAGAGCAGCTAATAATAAAGGTCTTCACATTGGCACCATCAGCAAACAGCGCCATCAAGATGGCTCAGTTGTTGGGGGAGCAGCTGAGAGCCAAGGAGCCGATACTGCTCTCCCGGATCAGCCCCATTCTTTGTTTTTTTTTTGTTTTTTTTTTTTTTACATTCTTTACATAGTTAATTAGGGCAAAAAGGTTCAAGGGTTACAGGAAAGTGGGTAAGACTATTATTTCCATGTATTTTGTCATGTATCTGGGGTAAAGGGAGAGGTAAAGGGAGAAACCCCACCCAGTCTCCCACCCACCCCAGGTCCCTGATGTGGGGCATGCTCCGAGCGTCTTGCTCAAGTGGTTTTGATAGTTCAACAGTTATGAATTGCTGCCATTCCAAGCACAATGAGGTTGTTGAAGAATCCACTGATTGCCACAGTCCATCTTAGAGTCTCTGTTTGCCCAGTTTTTCACTGCCAACCTGTGGCTGAGGTAGTTGACTGACTTGTTCTGTCCTCTCTCTTTTCTTGGTTAGGGTTCTGAGTCCAGCAGTTTGATTGGGGAGATCCCCAAAGAAACTTTGTCTGAGGTGTTCCCAGACTAGATTCTGTGTGTACTTGCAAGTACAGGGCCCAGTACAGTCCATCGTCCCATCGGCTGGTGGTTGCAATTGCTGGGTCGGTTCTGTTTCCAGCTCTGTCTTCCACACAAACCAATGGGTGTTGCAGTCCAGCCTGGTTCTGCCCACCACACACTCGCATAAATCAGTGGGAGCTACAGCCTAGTCGGAACGACCCACAATAACCTCCACCAGGTCCGCCCCCTATCCTGGTTCCCATGCTTTCCAGTATGTGCAGCAGACTAGTCCAGTCTGTCCTAAAGGGCCTCTTATTATTGCTGTCTCGGCCGCGCCCATTGACCATATGCTAATCAAGGGTGTTCCGTCCCCAGGTGCAGTGGGAATCTATCCTTTCCCTCTTTCTTTGATCTTTAGGTCCCTCCTCCTGTGATGCCTTTCCTCCCTTAACTGATTCAAGACTAAGCTGTAGAATGAGGATTGTAGTAGGAATGTGTTACTGATTAATTAAACTTCCTGACCTCAGGGTTAGGAAGGCTGATATGTTGCCTCAAGGTGAAACAATTGGTAGAATTATCCTTAGGGATGCCCGCTTGACTAGGTGTGAAGTCTGTGCCAGCCTTAGTGAAGGCTGCTGTATGAATAAAGCAGACAGCTTTATTGCATCGTCCACTGCGGAAATCGTACCGGTCCATTTTCTTCCTCTTCCCGCCTCACCCACGCACCCTTCTCGAATTCCGAACTCGGCTGCAGCTGGACTCCGGCACCGGTCCCAATCAGGCAGAGCGAGCTGTGCATCCCACAGCTGGCAGAGACACTAGATGACAGCATGAGCTGCAGTGTGGCACAGTGCATGAAGCCCGCACTTGGCGATGCCAGTGATGGGCACCACCAGTTCAAGTCCGAGCTGCTCCACTTCTGATTCAGGTCCCTGCTAGTGCACCTGGGAAGCAGTGAAGACGGCTCAAGTGCTTGGGGCCCTGTACCCATGTGGGAGACGGAAGCTCCTGGCTTCCATCTAGGCTAGCTGTGGCCAATGCAGCCATCTGGGTTGTGAACCAGCACACAGAAGATCTTTGTGTCTTTCTCCACTTTTCAAATAAATAAGTAAACATATATATATATATATATATATATACTTAAAATTTATTTTAAAAATGCTCAGGGCCCTGTGCAGTGGCCTAGCAGTTAAAGTCCTCGCCTTGAACACACCAGGATCCCATATGGGTGCTGGTTCTAATCCCAGCAGCCCCGCTTCCCATCCAGCTCCCTGCCTGTGGCCCGGGAAAGCAGTCGAGGACGGCCCAAGGCTTTGGGACCCTGCACCTACATGGGAGACCTGGAGGAAGTTCCTGGATCCTGGCTCTGGATCGGCTCAGCACCGACCGTTGCGGTCACTTGGGAAGAGTATCATCAGATGGAAGATCTTCCTCTCTTTCTCCTTCTCTCTGTGTATCTGACTTTGTAATAAAAATAAATAAATCTTAAAAAAAAATAAAAATGCTCAGAAAAGTCTGTGAAACTGAATACTTCCTGATTTTTTTTTAAAGACTTATTTATTTATTTGAGGGCCCAGAGAGATAGCTTAGTGGCTAAATCTTTGTCTTGCTCGCGCCAGGATCCCATATGGGCACCAGTTCATGTCCTGGCAGCCCCACTTCCCTTCCGGTTCTCTGCTTGTGGCCTGGGAAAGCAGTCAAGGATGGCCCAAAGCCAAAGCCTTGGGACCCTGCACCCGCGTAGCAGACCCGGAAGAGGCTTCGGGCGCCTGGCTTCAGATTGGCTCAGCTCCAGCTGTTGTGGCTGCTTGGGAAATGAATCATTGGATGGAAGATCTTTCTCTCTGTCTCTCCTCCTCTCTGTACATCTGCCTTTCCAATAAAAATAAATTTAAAAGTCTTAAAAAAAAGAGATTGATTTGTTTGAAAGGCTGAGTCAGAGGGACACATATACTCACAGATACAGATAAATTTTCCCACCCACTGGTTCACTCCGGAGATGATCTCAATGGGCCGAGCTGGCCAAGGGCAAAGGCAGGAGCCAGAAGCTTCACCCAGTTATGCCACCCGAGCAGCAGGAACCCAAGCACCTGGACCATCCTCTGCTGCCTTCCCGGCTGCAGTAGCAGGGAACTGGACTAAACCAGTGCCCATATGAGATGCTGGCATCACAGGAGCGTGTGAGATTTTTTTCTATTACACAAAGTTCAAACGTCAAAGGTGAAGAGGGCGTCTCCCGCAGGAGCCGCCAGTGGAAAGCCCGAGACGGAGCTACAAAAGCGCGGGTGCAGGAGAAGACAGGTGAGGTGCAGTCTCAGGGGGCCTGCGAGGCCAAGACATACCTCGTGCTGCTTCTCCGAGATGTTGAGCGCTTTCAAGGCGAAGACGGCTTCCCGGGCGCCCACGTACAGGGTGTTCTGGTCCTCACTCAGCAGCAAGACGGAGTAGTTGTAGATGCCTGGCTCGTGGAACTGTAGCAGCCGTACCTCTGCAGGAAGGGGGCAGAAGCAGGCGAAGGGAGGAAAGAGGTGAGGGAGTACGCTTAGGTCGGGATACCTCATGGGCATCCTGCCTCGGTGGCCAGGGGCATGCCAGAGTGGGGTCTCGGTGCAGCCACCTCTGTTCGGCTGGTTCAGCTGCCATTGCATGCATTGCTGCAGTAGGAGTTAGCACCAGGTGCCCTGGAAAAGACCTGCAAAGCAGCTACCACCAGGTGCACCTATGGGACCCACTCGGTGGCAGCCTTGTGGCCCACAGCTGGCGAGCTCGCCTTGAGGCCACGTGCTCACATTCCTTCCTGACCCTCAGGTTTGGGAGCCCACATGCAGCTGTCGCTGCTGCCACTATCTCTTAGGATTTTATTATGGGGTTGGAGGGGCCGTGTTTTGCTCTAAGGCCTGTGGACCTGTCACAACACAGCAGTTTCAGAGGCTGTATCCCTCAGCCCAAGGGACCCCCACCAAGCACTCAGACAGAAACAAGCTCTCTCTCTCTCTTCATACAGCAGGGAAATGCATCCACAGCTCCTTAGGATTTACGACTGGCGGCTGAGGAATCAGAAGTGCAGCCACACTGCTTCTGGAGGAGCTGGTCCTTTACCACAGTCCTGGTGTCAGTCTTTTCGAACTGGGCTTTCCACCTATTTGTTTGCAAGGGTCACTTCATTACAGCCAGGGCTGTTGCATTCCGTTCTAATTTTTGTTGGAGGAGGGAGTTGTGCACACACAGGACGCAGGCCCCTCCGCACACGTGCAGCCTGAAATCCCCCTGAGGCAGGCTTGGCCCTGTGTGTGCTCAGCACCCGGCGTTTCCTCTCGCAATCCGCCAACCCAGCAGAGGAAAGAACTAAACCAGGGCAAGCCTGCAAGTGGCAAACACGGTAACTGGCACGAGGCTCGGCTATACCTGGGGCTGGGGGCTTTACAAAGTTTCTGGAAAACGGAATGAGAGACTAAGTTTATCTTGGTGCCAAGAAATTGGGACATCTATGCACAGTTTGTCAAAATGCACGGTTTTGAGGAGCTGCTGCGGGATCCCTCATATGTAAGGATTTCAACTCTTTGACATCAAAATAAACTCTCCTTTTAATTCCACGAACTTAGAGGCAAGCCCTGGCTGGCACATGAGCAGCCTTGCCACACCTGGCATCTCCCAGGCCTGGGGATGGCTGTGGATGATGAGGTACAGGGATGACCTTCCCTTGAAGGCTCCCCTGACTCGGCACCAGGGTGGGAGCCTGGCGGGATGCCCCCAGTTACCAAGGCAACCCCCTCAGAAGGAGCACCGGGGTGCCCATCCACACCAAGCTCCAAATGCAGGGACCCCAAACGATCAAGCCCCCCAGTTGTCTCCGTCCTGTGCAAATAGGAACACCCTCCCCAGCCCTGCCACCTCGCGCCCTGTCCCCTGTACCATCAGGCTTTGCTCAGGCTGTGCACTCTCACCTCTGTGCTCCCAAGTGATCCGGGGTACAGGTGCAAACGTCACTGCCGTTCCAAACAGCACCACCAGGGTGGTGAGCAGCCCCCTGACAGGGGCAGCGCACATCCTCATGAGGCAGGGGGCCTTGGGCAGCAAACACTCATGGGCGATGGGCGGGCCTGTCCCCAGGCTGCCACTCAGCGTCCTGGCACCACAGCACAGAGCGGGTGAGCCGCACGGTCCCCTGGAATCTGCATGTCCCGCTGGCAAGGTGAGAAAGGGGCTGCTGTCACCACGGCAGGGTCACGGACACTGGAGTTTTGCTACGGCCTGAGCAGAAATACTGGAGAGAGAGACAGAACGAGAGGAGGGACTTGCATGAGAACACACGGTCACATGCAGCTTGCCCAACGCCTGGCTCAGCTCCACTCTGAACTTCCTCTACCCCAAAGGTGGCAGAGGACACAGGGGCTGGCAGGTGGGGGCCCTACCAACTGAGACCACTGCCATAGCCACAGGGGTCATCCTGAATCAGGCCTGCCCAGCCCAGCGCCCAGCCAGCAGGGAACATGGACAAGCAGACGAGGCCCACGAGGGGGCTGCGGGATGCGACAAGGCTGGCTGGCTGCCCAGCTTCCTTCCTGTGTGGCTGCTGCATCCTGCTGCGAGGAGATGAAACTGAGAGGAACGGAACCTGGGTTTCAGTTCCCGGCCAAGACTCTGACTTCCCAATTCCTATAACGCTTCGCCAGGAGACAGCCAGAGGACTGCAATGCGTGCGCACACAGGTGTGTGAACACTGTATGTATATATGAACACTCTACACCCAGGCATGCAAGCACTCTCACGTGCATAGCAGAGCACTTTGAAAAGCAATGGAAAATGGAATTACAGATGCACCTTGTGCTTTACAGATGTGCTTTTAAATCAGTTCTTCATGACACAAATTTCCACATGCTTTTTGAAGACCTCTTGTAGGTAGGTTATTTCAAATGTTTGTGGTACCAAGATGTGCCTTTACACTCCATGTTCCAAAAAGTTTTCACAGGACTCTCAAATGTGTGCACTGTGTGTGAGAGGCACAGGTGTGTAAGTGTGTATACACATTGTAGGACCGTGTGTTTGCACACGTGCACACACAACCAACCCACCAAATGTGGTGCAACAGCAGTGACCAGACCCGACCCGGGCCTGATGCTGGGGCTGTGGCCTCACGTGATCCCCGTGCTTCTCTCAGCTCCTGGACCCCTCTCCACAGCCCCTCCTCCAGGCCAGAGGACCTGCAGTCAGCTCACGGCCGCCTTTCTGCCCTGGCCGCACAGTCCCCGTGACAGGCCTTTGGGTCCTCGTTTCCATCTCGGTGGCTTTCATCCCAACTTTCTTGCCACCACCGTAGTCCAAAAGCGGTCACAGACAACAGATGATGTGTAAATAGAGAAGCCTGGTGGAGGCAACGTGACTCCACAGAAGCAGGTGCCAGGCTGGTGGCTGAGCTCTGACCAGCGGGTTTAAGACAACAGCCCAGATGCACCAGCAGCAAGGTATGGCCCCGACTCACAATGACACTCGAGGCAACCAGAAGCCAGGAAATGAGGCCGAAGCCAGGGACTGGCTGAGCCCTCCAGTGGCTGTCACACAGCCCTCTGCACTGCGAGTGGCAAATGTGACTGTCAGGGAGGCACACAGCTTCCTGGGTCCTGAGGTCCCCAGTGCAGATGCTATTCTGCCACCAGTAAGGGACTGACAGGGTGTGGTACGATGGCTCAACTGGCTAATCCTCTGCTGCCAGCACCAGCATCACATATGGGCACTGGCTCGTGTTCCAGCTGCTCCACTTTCCATCCAGCTCCCTGCTTATGACATGGGAAAACAGAAGAGGATGGCCCGAGTCCTTGGGACCCTGCACCCATGTAGGAGACTCGGAAAGTAGCACCAGGCTCCTGGCTTCAGATCGGCTCAGTTCCAGCCACTGCGGTCATTTGGGAAGTGAGCCAGCAGATGCAGGATCTTTCCCCTTTTGTCTCTCCTCTCTGTAAATCTGCCTTTTCAATAAAAACAATAAATAATCTTTGGAGAATGAAAAAGGGGGTGGGGGATAACTCTGACAATAAGTGGCTCCTAGGGCCTAGGAGAGCTTAGTCAAGTCCAGGAACCTGTAATGAATGTACAACACAGAGACCCCGAGACACTGTGTGGTGGTGGGAAGGGACAGCTGTCTTCAGGTCACCCATGCAGCAGGGGCCCTGCACCATGGCCTGAGAGGGTGTGCTAGCAGGGGGATGGAGGGCATAGCCAACTGGAAACCCCCAAGAGGCTGGGACCTTGGCAACACAGGGGACACTCTTCATCGGCTTTCTCCTCCCCGCCACGTCCCTGTTCACTCCACACTTGCACCTCCTCGAACAATCTGTTTTCTGAATTTGTCTACCAACAAACACAATTCCAAATTGCCCAAGCTCCTTGAGAACAGCAAGAAGAGCGTTGTGAATGTAAGCCAGGCGGCATCACTTCCCCACGTGCAATGTTTCAACACCACCGCCCCATGACTCGGGCTAAAAGCCCCGTTTTCAGTCTTAGCCAACAAGGTCATGGTGATCAGGCTTTTCCTACCACCTCCCCTCCCCCCTGCAAACTGACCACATCTGCATACAACATGGAACCTGGCCCCTCTGTGAGGCTGTCACAACCACGCAGCTACCTGTGAGGAACCTCAGTGCTTTCTGCTTTTGTGGTTTCTGGCTTGCTTGCTTGGCTGAGGAGCTGTGTGAACCCCAGGCCTGTCATGACACCTGGCAGGTCACGTAGGCAGACCACTCCTCTGGAAGGAGGCCCCTGGTGTTAGATAAGACCCACTACCCTATAGCCCATCAGTTTGTACTATGTGAAATAGAAGTCTGACAGCTTCTTTTCTTAAAAGTTAACAGTTAAAGTGACCAATCATGACTGTGGAATTTTGTGGTACTGGCCTGAAGTGTATAAAAACCCTGCGCTGTCCAACCTCAGCCCTGCTTCTGCTGCCCCTGCTGCTACTGCTGCTGCTGCTGCTCTCCCCAGTCCTGCTGGGCTGGGTGATGGCTGGGAGTCTAATAGTCTGAATAAACCACCCTTATGCGCTTGCATCGACTCCTGATGAATTCTGGGGATCTCAAAATCTGGACACAACTCCTGCAGCGCCCGGGAGCCAGGAACTCAATCCAGACCTCCCACGTGGGTAGCAAGTACCTGAGTACTTGAGCCATCACCCCAGGGGGGCAGAAAGCTGGAGCAGTCAGAGCTGGGAGTTGAACGCCAGCACTCCATTAGGGGAAGCGGGTGGCTTAACTGTTGGGCCAAACACCTGTCCCACTTTTTTCCCCAAAAAGTTTCTCAGATTCCCTAATAGGAGTGAATTAGCATTGGTCTCCAAAGTTCCTCAACTTTGGGCTCCCAAACAGGGCATGGTTTCTGAGAATTCCCCAGACTACCTCGGCCCTAAGGTCAGGATTGCCACACTCTGAGCAGTCTTGCATCTCTTCCTGAAAACAGTACCAGTCCCTGTCATAAACAAACCCAGACTCACACCAGCTACCAAGTTAACATAAGAATCATCTGGCATGGGCCCAATGCAGTAGTCTAGCGGCTAGCTAAGGTCCTCGCCTTGCAATTGCCAGGATCCCATATGGACACCAGGTCACGTCCTAGTGGCCCTGCTTCCCATCCAGCTCCCTGCTTGTGGCCTGAGAAAGCAGCAGGGGATGGCCCAAAGTCTTGCAACCCTACACCTGCATGGAATACTTAGAAGAAGCTCCTGGCTCCTGGCTTCAGACCTGCTTGGCTCTATCCGTTGCAGCCACTTGGGCAGTGAATCAGTGGATGGAAGATCTTCCTCTCTGTTGTCTCCTCTCTGTGGATCTGACTTTCCAATAAAAACAAGTCTTAAAAAGAGAATCATTTGGCACAAAGTTATCAGACAACTGCATCAGAGAATGATAGAGAAGTAATTGACGAATATCTGGATATAATAGCACCTGACAGAATTGATGAGTATCTGATAGAAACTGATCTGATGAACGGGAACAGATGCATGGATTTTTTTTTTAATAACAAACTGAGTGAGGTCCCTGGACTCCCAAAGGGGGAAGAGGATTGTCGGCACCATCAACCAGGGTCTGACCTCTGGAGTCACCCCATAAATGTCCTACAGTCCCTACCATCCTCAGAGATGCCCCACATCCTCCTCCCCCACGGCCCATGCAGGCCCCAGCTGGCAAGAGGAAGAAGAGGCCACCCAAGGCCACTGTAGTCCTCAGAGAAGATGCTGATCACACACATCGCTGGGACACCAGTGGCCCACTGAGTGTCCAGGCTGACACCACAGCCCTGAGTCCAGACACACAGAGAAGTGACTGTGAGCTGTGCAGAGCAGCAGAGGCAACCGTGGGAGACCTGGGTAGAGAGGGGACACTGCTTCTCTGAGGGCTGACGTGGAACCTGTGTGCAAGGACAAGCAGGTGTCAGGCGCAGACAGCAGAGCAGCCACTGCACTCCAGCCAGGCTGAGGACACCAAGTAAGCTAAAGGAAGGAGATGAGGCCAGCGCTGTGAAGCTGCCTCCAAGGCTGGCAACCGGTATGGGAACCAGTTCCAGTCCCAGCTGCTCCACTTCTGATCCAGCTCCCCTGTTAATGTGCCAAGGGAAAGCAGCAGAGCACGGCCCAACTCCTTGGATCCCGGCATCCACATGGGAGGACCCGGATGGAGTTCCATGTTTCTGGCTTCCACCTAGCCCAGTCCTATCCATTACAGCTATTTGCAGAGTGAACCAACGTAAGGAAGATTTATCTCTCTCTCTTTCTAATTTCTATCTCCATCTCCTTCTGTAATGCTGCCTTTCAAATAAGTATTTTTTTTAATAAATAAATAAGTAAATAAGAAGAATGAGTTGGGCCCGGCGCGGTGGCGCAAGTGGTTAAGTCCTCACCTTGCACGCCCGGGATCCCATATGGGCGCCGGTTCTAATCCCGGCAGCCCCGCTTCCCTTCCAGCTCCCTGCCTGTGGCCTGGGAAAGCAGCCGAGGACGGCCCAAAGCTTTGGGAACCTGCACCCGCGTGGGAGACCCGGAAGAGGCTCCTGGCTTCGGATCGGCATAGTATCGACCCGTTGCGGCTCACTTGGGGAGTGAATCATCGGATGGAAGATCTTCCTCTCTGTATCTCCTCTCTGTATATCCACCTTTCCAATAAAAAATAATAAAAAAAAAAAAAAAAAAAGAAGAATGAGTTATGGAGTCATGAAAAGGCATGGAGGAAGCTTAGATGCACGCTGTGTGGTGAAGGCGAGCGCTCTGAAACGGCTTTGTGGTTT